GCATAGATGCTTCCGTACAATGCACGAAATTTAAAATTCATTATCTGTTTCTCATTTCTTTTTCATATATTTTCCTGTCATTTGTATTAGTTAAGAAGTTAGATAAAAATTGTTAAAAACTTTTGGTTAGTAAAAGTAATTTTTTGGATAGATGTATATCAATAGTGATAATTAGTGGTGGAGGCGATGAGTGATTATAAAGGGACATGTAGTAAAATATAATTAGAGAAAATATTTACTATTTAATTTTTAAGTGATCGTTATTGTAAACTGTGGACTGTTCTTAGAGTATCAACTATCAAGCATCAAAATGTTAATTCAAATCAAAACAGTGGGCCCAAGTTGGGCCGAGTCTGTTCCGGGGCTTGTAAAATGTGCAATTCAAAGCCCTAGTCTGAAGCCCATTATTGGTTCCTTTACGAATAAGGCTCAGCACCTTAAACTAGGACTATGCTAAAATTACAAGTTACTAGAACAAGGGGAGAAATATATACAAGAAAAAACAAATACAAATTTCATTTTATGATCAATTCTTGGGGCAATTAAATTTTAGAAATTACAATTTTAGACAGAAAAGTTTGAAAAAAATTGTGAGACCATCAACTGTTCCTCTCAGGCCCAAATGTTATAATTGGTTATTAGAAAAAGTATGTTGATATCCAAATAATGTTTAATAATTTTAAAAGGTACTCTCACAATTTTCTAAAACTACACAGGCAAGCTTTTTTAGATTTTATCATAGTGTGATGTTATTGTAATGACAAAATTTTGTGTGATATAACACAAAAGTAATGTCAAATTACAAATTTGTTTATTTTGAATAGAAAAAGTGGCGTTAATTCTTTTTGGTGTGATTCTCACGTGCGTAATTCTTTGATTCTCAATGGATTTGATGGCAACGAGGATCGGATCGGCATATTTCTCGATTTTTGATTTGGTGATGGTTTTGGTAGATTTAGTGAAGATGAGGGTTTGATCGGCATGATTCTTGAATTTTAATTTGTGGATGTTTTGGTGGATTTTACTGAAGATGAGAGTCGGATTGACCTGATTATCTTTTTTTGATCCTTGATTTATTGGATTTATTGAAGACGAGGGGTTGAATTGACGTGGTTTTCATTCTTCGTTCTTTGATTTAGTAGATTTGTTGAAGATAATGGTCGGATTGATGAGATACTCATTCTTCGATTTGATAGTGACTTTGTTGGATCTTTTTACCGTTCTTTGTGTTAATCAACTTAAAGATGATTTAATTCTCTTAAAGAAATATCTTAGTTGTGTTTCTTGTCCTCAAAGATGGATTTGCAAGACTTTGGTTGGAGGGAGACTTCGTTGCTGATCTTCCCTTCTCCTCTTGGATAGACTCAGGCTGAACTTTCTTGATCTATTCTCCTCCTTAGCTTCTTTCTTGGCCTCCTTCTTTTAGAGTGCAAAGAGTAGTTATTGATGTAAAAATATTTTACTTGAAATACTCTTATATGGGCTTTGGGTAGTGGGTCACCCATATTTATTTTAATTTATGGACTTTGATTGATTTATGTTATTTGAGCTTTAGGTTAAACATAGTTTAATTTGACAAACTTAATTAATTAAATTTGAGTTCATATTATTAGGGTTGTAAAATTACAAGTTACTAGAATAATATATACAAGAAAAACAAATACAAATTTCATTTTATGATTAGTTCTTGGGGCAACTAAATTTTATAAATTACAATTTTAGATAGAAAAATTTGAAAAAAATTGTGAGAACATCAACTGTTCCTCTCAAGTCCAAATGTTATAATTGGTTATTAGAAAAATTATATTGATATCCAAATAATGTTTAATAATTTTTAAAAAAAGGTACTCTCATGATTTTTTAAAACTACACGGGCATGCCTTTTATGATTTTATCATAGAGTTTAATGATGTTTACAACACGACTGAGCAGATTGATGGATTCGATATGCACCGAGTAGTTCAATCTGAGCTTCAAGGCTCTTGAGAATTGGATCAGGGGATTAAGATTATCACACATGGAAATTCTAGTGGTTTACTTAGTCAGGGAGCTTGGTTAATCCATTTTCAAAGGAGTCTCTTGCTGGAGGGGGATATATTGATAACGAGGATTTTACACTAAGTATTTGAATGAGGTTACAATTGCTTTTTTTTGGCGTTGGGGGTCATGTCCCCTATTTATAGTCGATCCTGAGCTTTGATTGATCTTTGACGAGATCCTCACTTTTTCTCATAACGTTTGCTTTTATTAGGCAACAATTGCGGTGAGTGTTGGGATAGTTACGAATCTTCTGCCTGAATAAACGACTGTTGTTTTCGTGGTTATGCTTGGTGAGAGCCAGTTGTCTTCTATGCTGCAGGCACAGGAAGCTCGAGATTTGAAGTTGAGGTTTATAGATAACTTAAATGAACTGAGCTCCCGACCTAAGAGAGCATGACTTGTGTTACCAAGCTCAGCCTTAGACATATTCGATGCACCATCAGAGATGTTACACAACTCTTGTTTGTCTAATTTTACCCTTATACGGTTATACGTACTTTTCATGCATTCAAAAAATTCTTGAACAATCTTCGATTTAATAGTGATTTTGTAGGATCTTTTAACTATTCTTTATGTTAATCAACTTGAAGATGATTTGAATATCTCAAAGAAATATCTTGGCGGTGTTTCTTGTCCTCAGAGATGGATTTGCAAGACCTTGGTTAGAGGGAGACTTATTGTTGATCTTCCTTTCTCCTCCTAAGATGGACTCGGGCTTAACTTTATCTTCCCTCCTCCTTAAGTTCTTTTCATGGCCTCCTTCTTGGCCTTCTTCTCTTAGTCTCTACTCATACTCTTATTTATAGTACTGAGGGTAGTTATTGAAATTTTTTTTTTTATCTGAAATACTCTTATATGGACTTTAAATAGTGGGTCACCCATATTTATTTTAATTTATGGGCTTTGGTTGATTTATGTTATTTAAGTTTTAGGTTAAACACAATTTAATTTGACAAGTCTAATTAACTAAATTTGAACTTTTATTATTAGGGTTGTGAAATTTAGGTACCACTCAAACCTATTGAATTAACTTTTGGCTTCTATTATTTGGGCTTATGGAATTGAGGTTCAACCCAATTTAATTTATCTAATTAGTTTGACTTCAATTATAGACATTAATTTATTAACTTTTTTAATGTCTATAGTTACATAACACTTATTTGTCTAATTTTACCCTTATACATTTATACGTGCTTCATGCATTCAAAAAATTCTTGAACAAACACTCGTTATCCCATGTCTGAACAGGCTTAATCCCATAAAGGAGCATTTTATTTTTATTTTTACGTTCTGTCTCATCTTTATATAATATTCTCTGGATTAAAGACAACTCTATCAAGCTATTTTCATCAATTCCCCTCCATTATCATAGGTTAGATCGGAATTAATGGTTCAATTCTCTCTCATGTTTATACTCAAACTAAATATGTTCTAAATTACTAAATTAGGTCTAATAATATTGTTTTTCTTATTACAAGTTGATGGGACATTTCTAGAAGGTTGTTGGATTAATGACGCGTATCCTCGATCCCGGGACTCTCCTTGACTCTGGCGAGGCCACGTGTCCTCGGCCTCAGTATCCTTCTTCTCCAACAGATGGATTCCTTGGTTCCAAGATATGCTCTCTCGACTCCGAGGAACCACATGTCATCAATCCCTAAGTCATTGGTTTCTGAGGAAGCCCGTGACTGACAACTGAATCAGCCTAAGCTAGGCTGGTATGATAACACTCTGCACAATGGAGTCAGTATGACAGAATGAACTAGACATTCAGCCAAATAGGGTCGGGCGCGTGGCATAAAGCGCAGGATGAAAGGTAAAAAGACAGAACTACCCCTGCTGATACGCGGCTAATAGAAACAAACATTTAATGAATTATCAGTTGATAAGACACCTACCGTGGCGTGATGAGCCGATGAGTAAAAGATATTAAATGCTTAAGGACCTGAGCATTTAATATCTCCACATTGAAAAAAGAGCATTAAGTGCTCGGCCAGATGTTGGGACATTCTCCAGGAAAAATAGGGGGCACATTACCCAATCTTTGAAGGCTATCTATTGTCTAGACTACCAGTAATGATGAGTCTTTGAATGTATAAATAACCCTAAAAAACACATTACAAAGGTATGTGAATTCATCTCTCAAGAACAAAAAATAGTGTTTTTTTCTTTCTCTCTTTCAAAGAATTGACTTGATCGTCGGAGGGGACACGCTGAAAAACACTCCGATGCCCTTTTAACCCATTTTCTGTGTTCCAAGAGGCCTTCACGAGCCATCAGGATCAGTTCGACAACACCAAAAGCAATTCATCACTAGTCCTTAGGCTCCCTTTGACCCTCTCCATCTATTCCTTGTTAATTGATCCACCATTCTGACAAATCGAATCTCACTGTGAGAAAAATATGTTCTCATTTTAATTATTGTGCAGAAATTTTCCCTCACACAAGTTAAATGTGTTTGTTTTCATTTGGCAACGAGCCGAAAAAAAAAAAAATCAGAATTTGAAGTTTTGAACTAATGTTTATGTAGACCAAAATTTGGAACCCAACTCCGTGGTGAAGTGGACAGCTCGACACGACAACAGTTCAATAGGAAGGGCCTACCGACCGTGCCACGTTAAAATTGAGTAAAAGCAGCGTATACACCACGTCGGCGACCCCAATGAAAGGGGAATGATTCGCACTCTCGTCACTTTGATATCACCCTAATTTCTCTCTCTCTCCAAGTTCAACACGCTTCTTGTCAACACTCTACCCAGTCCTCCCCCCTTTGCGTCCTTGACCCTCCCTCTCTTTCTCTCTCTCCCTCTCTCATTCTGTGCTACATATACGCACGGTTATTACACCACCTTCCCTCACAGTCTATCCTCAATTCCTCATTAATATCTCTCTCCTCCACAGTCCGTGCTTATATCAAGTAAACAAGAAGTACTGATAAAAAATAACACCCAGAATCTGATATGGGAAATATCATCTGTTGTTACTCTTTGGGGCCCCAGCCACGGGCCGCGAAGCTCATTGACGTTCACGGAAATTTACGACTTATTAAGGTCCCAATAACTGTCGCCGAGCTCATGCTCGAAGAACCAGGCCACGTGATTTCTCCGGTCGAAGTTCTCCGGCGAACTAGTCGGTTTGAGGCCATGAAAGCCGATGAAGAACTATCTTCCGGAAAGCTTTACATGTTGGTTCCCGCAAATAGGATTCACTGTTTGCTGTCGGAATCGGAAATGGCGCTTGTAAAATTTTCTTGTGAGAAAAAGAAGGCGAAACGACGTAGTTCTAAGATTTTGCCGGCATTGACCCAGGAAGGCGGTGAGAAGGGTGAGGGATCCAACGATCCGGTACCGGTTTTGGGTGGGGAAAATTCCGGTTTACCATGTTACCGATTGAGACAGTGGAGGCCCGCTCTTGAGCCCATTTCAGAGGGGGCTTGAGAAACGTTTCTTTATTATTATTTGTTTTCGGGATTCGGATAGTTTTCAAATATTCCACGTGGTGTTCTTTATATATGTGATATGCCACGACATGTGGGACCACAGGTCATCTGACATGGCAAGGCAGTGGGACCAGGTCCATATATTTTTTCTTAGAATATGTGATTAGGATCTCTTTGGATTGCACCATTCATTCTTCCCTATTAGCACCATTTTATTTGGAGTAATATTATTTACACTAAAAAATTTTTATTTGTGAAATATTTTCTCAGGAAAAAAAAAAAGTTAAGAAGAATCAAACTTACATGAAATTATAACAAAGCTATTTTCATGCTCAAAATGACGGTTCACATGGTCAAGTAGTAAGAGGAATAAACTGTAAAATTAAAATGTCCTAATCTCGGCATATATGACCTGCTTTTGAGAGGGACAGAGAGGGAACCAGTCAAAATATACGTAAATTGATTTGAATACTCCTGACCATTGAATCAGAAAGAAAAAAAAAAAATCTCACTCTTGTGCTCTTAAGAATTATGAAATCTTTTTAGAAGTTTCAGGTCGACAACCAATCAACTCGAGTCTCTCCCTTAATAATCATATTTATATGTTACATACAAATTTCCTCTACAACAGTTCAGATTAATTAATTTGGAAGGTATAGATGGAGATCTGGAATCTACTAATTAATCTATCCGTTGTTATGATACAATCAATGTGCATTACTATGATACAAATCCTACCTCTGTGTATTGGATTAATTTAGGGAACTTATTAGTTGTACCGTCCATTTTAACTGGTAACAGCTCGTTGCAAATATTAAAACATTAGTTAATGTCGTTGATCGGTTCTTCCTCTTCCACCATTGACTTCTCTTCTTGTTCGGTATGACGGGAGTCTACCAAAAGAAGAGGATCAGAGGATGGCCTCAATGTATTTATCACCATCTGATCAACCCACAAGCTCAAATCCCAACCGCTAAAAGTTCTGCTTGCAGCTCACAAGCCATTGGATTTGATTGCTGCATGAACTGAACACACACATGATCATAAACACAACCACCCCAATCTTCTGTGACATTCTCGTCTGTTATTACCAAGTCCACCATTATATCTGTCACAAGTTGGGGTGGTTTAACAAACACAAACCCTCAACTCTTACCTTAATATATTACAACAAATTAAACGCATGCTTTTACTCCACTCACATTCTCACCTCCTTGCCTTCTTCAGTTGCTCTTTCAGATCCCATTCTCTCTCTCTCTCTCTCTCTCTCTCTCTCTCGATATGGGCAACCACATTTCATGCCGGCCATCGGACGGCAGCGGAAAAGTCATTCTTTCAGATGGCACGATTCATCGGTATGACCAACCATTAACGGTTGGAGAGCTCATGATAGAGCACCCACAACAGGTGGTGGTCGAAATCCAGTCAATTTTGAATGGTGGAAGAAAGGCAAGTCCATTGCCTGCTGATAATAAGCTTGAGAAAAACAAGGTTTACCTCATGCTTCCAATAAAGAGAGGCAAGCCAACGACATTGTCGTCTGAAGAAGCTCGTCGGCTTCTTTTAAGTGCAAATTCAGTACTCAAATCCAAGTCTCTTGTATCCATATTAGGGCTTCTCCCATTGTTTGCAAAAATATGTTCTGCGGACACCGGAGATGGACAAGAGTTTGTGCTGCATCGGAAAGAAAACTTGGCGGAGAAGATAGAGGAGACGAACAAAGAAAGGTTTTTCCCTGAAACCTTGGAGGGGCAGAGGCTAGAATATTTAAGCAGGCAATTCTCAGGGAAGGGGTGGAAGCCCAATTTATATACAATTATGGAGAACAAAGTGAAGACAAAGGTCCGTCACTGGTTGTTCTGAACATGTGGTCTTGCGACCATGCTTTCTGTCACAGGTAAGAAAATTGTAATTGAGTGAGGAAGAAGTAGAGTTACTTTGAGTAATCAAGTCTATGTAGTCTGGCTAGAGATGCCGCCATGTGAGCGCACTGTGCGGTGCAAAGACTTATAGTTATATTCATGGTAATTGTGTATTGTTGGTAATTTGTTGGACAAAACCTAAGTGATATCAGTCAATTTTAGTTTTTAAATTTGTTGATAAATTCGATGGTTCATTCAGATTAATGCCACACAAGTCAAATGCAATTCAAATAATTACAACCTAAATGCTTATTATTTCTTAGATGAGTGAGTCCTACCAATCTTTTTAGTCAAACTCATTAATTCAACACTTATTCAAGGGATGATATGTATTTGGATTACAAACTTTAAATTTTATTTGGGTTGTGTAGTATTTTCCATTTGTGAGACAATAATGAATTTGGTCAATAAAATTTTTCGAGATTTTTCCCTCCACCTGAATAACATTAATCGAGTGATATTTCTATTAAGATGGAGAATCATTTTTAATAATTCCAATCAGGACTTTTCATTTCTTGCCCAATTTGAATTGGTATGCTTTGAATAACAATTTCACTGAATTAGTGGTGCAATACCAAAAAAAAAAAAAAAAAGCCAAAAAGTACAATGAAGTGAAACAAGGAAGTTTCCAATACTCCGACCAATACATTATTACTTGGTGTTTTGTGTGGAGTTCTTATGAAAACTATCTTATGCTATTAAAGCTTTAATCTATAAGAAGACGACCAAATAAAACAACAATCAATAAAAATCAATTCATTCATACGAGAGTGATCGTAACATGACATTAAAATTAATGGCATACCCTCGTCATCATACAGAGAGAGCGCTCGCACAAATGTGCACTCATGCCCGCGGCCCATGATATGGCCTGGACATTCTGCTAGTTCATTGGCCCAGCCCATAAAGCAGAGATCTGTTGTTGGGGGCTGTTGGCCCGATGACAAGGCAGGTGGACTTTTTTTGCCGGCCAGATCAGCCTTTTGCTGTTCCGCATCCCCGCTCATCAGCTTGTCAAAATTAAAACGAGGGAAATTTAGAGGCCGGTCTTATATATACATTTGTTTAGATTAAGTTCGATAGACTTAAAAATTAAAAACTCTTAAATTTTAAGAGTTTGAGTAATATTAAAATTTTTTCTCTCTCATATCTATCTATATCCATATATATATGTTATAACTATATCTCTCACACACACATATATTAAAAAAAGTAATATTCACATATAAAAAAAATTATCATTTAAAAACAAAAAATAATACTATTTAAACACACATAAAAAAAAATAACATTTAAACAAAAAAAAATAGTAACATTCAATATTAATATTTTTAAAAAAATAACAATAATAACATGTTCAACAAAAATAATAACATACTTAATAAAAATAGTGACATGCTCAACAAAAAATAATAGTAATATGGAACATTAAACAAAAATAAAAATAAAAATAGTAGCATTCAAACCCATAACCAGAGGAATGAACTTCAAATTCTTTAGCATCCAACAAAATAACATTGAAAAAAGTAATAATATGCTCAATAAAAAATAGTAACATGAAAAAAAAATAGTAACATGATCGTAAAAAAACGTAGTAACATGAAACATTAAAAAATTTTCGGGATTATTTATCAAAAAAATTAAAATTAAATTGGGGATAAAACTAGCAAGTTTTTCAACATTTTTTTTTCTGAAAACCAACTACATAGAAGTTTATGATTACCAGAACTTAGTAGACGATATGATAGTTATTGATAATATTTCAAACTTTATTGATTTTGATACTATGGAGGAAGAAATAATATCTAAGGGGAAAGATTTGTTGTATTGGATTGATGATCTTCTTCTATAGATACATTGAGAGAGAGAGAGAATATATAAATTTCAATTTCAATTTAGGAGTGAATTAAGGGATAATAATTTTTTATTTAAAAAATTAATTTAAAGCTACTTTTAAAATCTTTAAAATTTTTATAATTAAATAGAATAACACTGTTAAATGTATTTTTGAGATTTATTAAAATAGTGAATTTAAATACTTATTAGTAAGATAAAAAATAAACTTATCACAAAATAAATTCCTTTAACAGACTTAAATCATTATAACTCCATCTAGAAAAATTCAACCCCAATTTTCACTTAAAACAAAACCCAATTAGAAAGTCCATTAGTAGACAGTGGCTATCCTTTCTTCTAATGGGCTGGCTCAACTCACCCCCATCCTATTTTTACTAGTGAAAATTGGAATATTCCCAGGGCTGGGCTAGGAAAGATTCCCAAAAGTATGGATCTCTAAAGAGTCCATGCCTTTGTATCTATTTAAAGTAGGCATGAATTTTAATAAGCAATAAAAATATAAAATTTAATTGACTAAAATCAAATTTTAATACATAAAACAATTTAATAAGCTTGAATTTTATTATGTAAAAAATAAAATTTAATAAGCTTGAATCGAAATTTAATTAGTTCAAATTTTAATACGTAAAAAAATAAATTTTAACTCGAATTTTAATATGTAGAAAAAAAATTTTAATTAGCTAAAATTTTATGTAGAAAGATTGTCTGGGGTTTATATAAGAATAATTTTGCTATTTGGATAATTGTTTTTTTTTTTTNTCTTATCTTTACTGTTTAAAATATAAATGTTGCAGAGTATTTTTAAACACCAAATCATGATTCTACATAAATTAGAAAGACGTTAACCAACTCTTAAACCGTGAGTTTGGGAAGAGAAGTGGGTCACAATCTCAAAATGGTGGGTTACCTTGTGCCGTGCCCTTCTCTGAACAAAAATTTAATAACTTGGCTTAAAAACAAAAACAGACACCGACTGTTTACTATATGTTCAACATGGACATGCCACGTATAATTAATCACAAGTTGGTTGACTATAAATCACATTGCTTGCTGTCAAAGATATTGGATCCTCTCAGTTTGGCACCATCTACATCTACACACTGATTTTGGAATGGGTCAAAAACTTTAGTTGACTTTTGGATAAGCAGACAAGCTTGGAATCGGTGGCGATCTCTTTCTCTGAAATAAAAACTCTCCTCCCCCACACCCATTAATCCAC